CTGGAACTCACTTGGTAGCCCAGGCTGGCCTCGAACTCACAGAGATCCGCCTGGCTCTGCCTCCCGAGTGCTGGGATTAAAGGCGTGTGCCACCATCGCCCGGCAACCCAGCCACACTCTTAACCAGAGGAATTCCCCCAGACTCTATGCAGCTCCATTTTCCTGCTCCGTTTAATTGGCCTGCCTCTCCTGAGCCTTCTGCTCCATGTCACAGATAAGCATTTCGAAGTGTGTTCTTCTTAGTCACTCCAACTGCTTCAAGACACCTTGAAAATCAAGTCTCAACATTTCTATCCGTACTCAGCCCTTTATTTAACCTGGTTGTACCCTACCTCCCTAGACCTCCAGGTCTGGCTTCCCAGACCATGGAGCCATATTCCTGATTTTGTTTCCTTATTAATACTCCTTCTTTCTCGAGCAACATAACCCTGGAAAGAATATAAACTCTGAAACAATGCCCTGGATTTTCACATATTTCATAGCTGTGTGATGGCAAGCTAGTTGTACCTACTTGGCATTTCAGTTTTCCCATCTATAAATTAATATAATTATGGTAACTACCTCATAGGATTTGGGGGGAGTTTGAATGACTTAAATAATGGAAAACCAAGTAGAACAATGTCTACAATGTAAGTGTAGACTAAATGTTAGCTAACAGTTTTCATCAATAACACCATTTATTATAATCCTACCTACCAATAGCATCAATTCCCAACTCTTTATAATGACTTGCCATCCTACATTAATTTGTTGTTGGGGGTGGGGGTGTTGAGGCAAGGTGTCATACTGTACCTAGGCTGGCCTGAAAGTTACTGTGTAACCCACACTAGCCCAAAGCTCATGGTACTCTTCCTGAGTATTCGGATTCCTGAGTACTGGGATTTGGGACTACAGGTATGAGGTACCACTCCCAACTCCTACACTAATCTTGACAGAGTGTTGCATGCTTCTCCATTTTGAGACTTGCATGTTCATTTCCTTTTTCAACAAATATTTGATTAGTTCCTACGTGTTTCCAGGATTGTACCCAACACCAAGTTTACATGAATGAATGAGACAAGAAGAGCCTGTTCCAAAGAGCTTATAGTCTGGTATGCTAAAAAAGATGTTATTAATCCACAATAACATTTTTAGGAACTCTAAAGAGAAGTCACTTGTTTTGATATTGGGGGTCTCAAGAAAAACCTTCAAGTGACAGATAGAAGGGGTATTCCAGACTATGAGGATAGTACAAGCATCATATAGCACCATGTGGTAAGGTAGAGGAATGCCAACTGTCATCATGTACCTGTTTCCAGATGTTGTATCCTACTGTACAGT